TTATGTATATACATATGCATCATTATCTTTCTTTCCTGTTATTCATCCACTAAGCAAGCATCACCCCTCTCTCCTTCGCCACACTCAGTCCGTGCACAGCAGATGGTGCTGCTGCGGTTGAAGATGATCAGTGTGGACTGTGTTGTAGCGCTGGCAAAGCCTATTATCGAGACCCCCACTGTACGTAACATCATGTACCAGCTACAGTGTCTACACGAATACGTGTTTGATCACTCTAGCTTCTTTGGCGAAGCCTCCAATTTCTCGTTCGTTATCTCAAGGTATGTGGATGGGGTTGTATGCAGCAATGGACAATTAATGGACAATGTGCACATAGGCACGGGCTCAGAGTAGCCGGTATTGCCCGTGTGTGCGTGCAATTGGCCGGACTGTGGGTGTCAAGTGATTCATTAGCTATCCTGTTTGTCAATCCTCCGTAGCATACTACACATCCATTGATGCAGTATCATGAATGCATGCTTGTACTGTTGCAATTTACAGTTACAGATTCCTCATTGCTAAACGAATGCATTCTTGTACTGGTTCTATTTATAGATTGCTCATTGCTAAACGAATGCATTCTTGTACTGTTTCTATTTATAGATTGCTCATTGCTAAACGAATGCATTCTTGTACTGGTTCTATTTATAGATTCCTCATTGCTAAACGAATGCATTCCTGTACTGGTTCCATTTATAGATTCATCATTGTTAAACGAATGCATTCTTGTACTAATTCTATTTATAGATTCCTCATGTTGTTCTCACCCGTGGCGCGCTTGGTGGATTATATTGAAGATTGCGATCGGGAGATGGAGTTAAGGTCCATCTCCAGATCATCATCACTGGGTATGTATATGTATGTTGTGGACTATGATGTAAGTAACAACGGTTTACGTACTTATGGTTTAAGTAGCATTGATTTACGTATCTATGATTTACGTAACTGTGATTTACATAACTATGGTTGAAATAAGTATCATTGAAGTATCATCTCCAATCATCATGTATAGTATTGGATACACTTCTGTCCCAGGGCTTTTTGACTGATGCCTTAAGACTTTGCCCGTTTAGTACGTTGTACTAATATCCCACGACTAAGCCCGCCCAATGCGTTTGCATGTCCTTACATTTTATCAAACACCCCTCCCGCGTGTCCCCCTAACAACCATACTAAAACCAAACCCCGCGGTCGTAAACCCTAACCATAACAACCATACTAAAACTAAACCCCGCGGTCGTAAACCCTAATCCCTAATCCATCATCCCGTTGTCCTATACGTCCCTCGTTCGCAGCTAATTCGGCCCGGAACTCCGTGGCGAGCATCCACAGCACGGCTGCAAGGGCGTCGCCTCCTACTTCGTCACAGAATCTGTCCCACTTCACATACGCCGATCACAGCAACACCACCTCTCCACACACATTCACCCAGCACGAGCAAGTGCAGGCACCCTCCCGGCACACGACCAGCACACAACACTCCTACACCCCCCCAACCAGCACAAGCTCGTCTACTAGTAATAGTGCGAACACCAGTGCCACTGCGCTGGGGTCGTTGACCGCGCCCGCTGGTGGTCCCGGTATTGCGGGGACACCTGGCCCGGTCCCTCCCTCCCATACTCAGGCCCAGCGGTCAGTCAGTGAATCGTATATCCGCGGTGCAGGGGCTTCGAAGCCTTTTGCACCTTCCAGACTGAAGCAGGTGCGTATCAAGTACATACAGGCACATGTGTATAACTATCTGATTTATGCGCGTCTTGTACACAAACACAAACACACACACACACACACACAC